TCGTTGCCGAATCAGTACATATTTTGTTTTAAACTTTCATGGTCACTAACATTATAGCTATGAACGGGATTGTTACCATGTACCTTGTTTTTTATGAGTATGATATTTCAGCACTGTTGCAAGCGCCATGATCACGGAGTAACTGAAGTAATTGCGGGTAGATGGTCTACCCTCTGACGTCGTCTTTTACTGCGCTCGATACCCCTACCACTGGTCAAATTCTCACTATTCACTTGCACTTGTTCCCGACACACAATACTCACAGTATCAGATCGCGGAACGACACTTTTTTGATTTTTGCGGTTTTTACACATACGAACCACTGGATTCACAGTGCGGATTACACGTATGTGCAACAGTGCCGAAATATCGGAGACTCATAAAAAACAATCCAGTACATATACTTTGACGACCTCCGTGGCCGAATGGTATGTACGACGGGATTCATGTTGTCACCTACTCGAGAGAAATCTCGAGTAGGGAGATGTTTTTGTGATGGATTCTAGCATTAGTACTCCAGTCTTGAATGTTTAATATGTATTTCTACATAAATATACTTATCAGTATATGTATTCTATGCGTTACGCTAGTACCCCAAAACACAAGCCGTGCTTACTCTATTAGGGTTAGGCTAATTAGCGTGAGTGTTGGAAATATTTATTTATTTAGCGAGTGCATGTTAGTAAATGAGAACTTCCTCATTGAATAGTTTCGATACAGATTCTTTACTTTAAACGTAGGTCTCTGAGGACGTCCTAGTGCTACTGAAGTGTTAGACTCGCCCGCACCGTCACTACCGCAAACTAAACCGTAGCAAACAAAACGAAACAATACCGCACGGAAACCGAGCCGGTCAGAAGTGGTTTCCGGTAATGAGTACAGATTCTTTACCAAAAACCAATATTTGACCGAATCGGTTTCGGTACAGAAACGAAAACGGATGATCCCTCACCGACCCGGTGACTCTCACCTCAGCGGCTCAGCCCAGGCGCCTTAGTTGGGAGCTTTTCCCTCGAGTGGAAAATTTTTATCGGGTCTCTGCTGCCAGCAGCTGGGGGTTTAGAGAAGTAGCATTCCTTTCCTAATATTCTTTTGAACTTGAACTTTATTAAAGTTTAAATTATTTGACTTAAGACAATTTACATATGACAAGCTTTTATCGATAACATATTAATCACCTTAGTCAAGTAGGACCACGCGTACATAGTGGTATAACGTGGTCCCACCATTAGGATAAACCGGTAGGACCACTTACCCTTGATCAGTACTTGAAGTAAATTTTGTATGTATCAAACATGATTTATTATGCAGAATATTAAATGAAATGAAATTATACTACATTCAAATTGTTTATTGAAAGCTCTTCTGAATCGCCTAGTATTCCGCCCATTCAGGATAAATTATAGCTGATGAGAAGAATGGGCGCAAAATAACTCATCAGCATTTTTATCAGAAGTAGCAACATTTACAAAAAAAGAAGTGTCGCTACCAATACGACGTCCACTCACATTTTGATTGCTGTGTAATACAGTAATATAAACAAGCTTATGATTCTAAAGTTTAATGCTTGTTTTTTAAACTTTAAGGTAAGAGTTAGCATTTGCTTGGCCGCGTTTGGCCACATGCCCACTGATGAGACACAAGCAAGATATTGGGGAAAACGTGCGGAATTTATTAATAGAATTCTAAGAGAAAGCTGGAGATTGCGCCATGGTCTTTTTGATCAGAGTTTGCATAATTTGTTCTTTAACAAGCATCTTAAACGAGAAACCATTTAAACGCAGACACCATCTCATTGTAATACAATTTCATCGCTTCTACCATCACGTGAGCGAATGCGCCTAACCTCTGTTTAAATATAACCACGACCAAAATACCTGGCCAATTAATAGCAGACCACAACAGATCTTGTGCCGTTGTCGCTGTCACTCGCTGATCAGTTCAAAACAACAGTCCATGATATTCTTTTTGTGAAACTGTGGGCTAATTGTCTAACAATGATGAAGAAATCAATCTTTATGTTCCTTCGATATTGTTTTCTAACATTAATGTCTTGTCGCCATTCGCTTGAAAGCTATTAAGTGTGAATATGTCACAAGTTGTATAATATACAATGGGATTACAATTAGTTAAGGAATCGATTTCCACAATTATTTATTTAAGTCTTCCCAGTGGTGTAGCGTGGATCTATTAAAATATAGATAGTAAGATTTTCTAAAACTGCTGCCCAAAAAATGACTCCGCTCATCTCAATAATAAGATTTGATTGATAAGTCGTTACAAAATTATTCGTTTTCTTCAACAAACGAATAAATTAGTCACAACTTATACCTCAAAGGGACAAGGAATCGATTTGTATAATTATTTATATTTTCAAGTCTTCCTAGTGGCTTAGCGTTTATCTATTAAAAATTAATATTAAAGGCCACCAAAACAAACACACAGAAACCGAGGCACAGGCGCACGCGCCGCTTGTTTGTGTCGCCGATACGACCCGCTCCGCCACCGCGCCGGCGCCGCCTAGTTCCCGCTCCGGTTCGTGTGTGTAGTCTTTCATATTAATTCGAACTATACAAAAAAGACCGCCTTCGCCTCCGTTCCGCCTCCGGATTCTGTGTGTTTTGGCCTTTATAGTAAAATTTCCTAGAACTGCTGCCCAAAAAATGTACCGCTCGTTTCAGTTTAACCCCTCGTTTCCACCAAGAAAGAAGTCGTATACTAGTTTTAAAACAAAACTTGTAGTTTACTTGTTGTGGCTGTTTAAAACATTTTTTCGTTTACACTGCATAGAGAACTAGTATCTGACAAATATAAAATACTTATTTACTTCACATAATTTGTTTATCCATGAAAAAATACTGTATACTACATGTTTTATACATGTATATAAGTTTGAACAAAAAATTATGACATTTGTACATGTATTATACCTTGGTGTAAACGAGGGGTAAGACCTCAATTAACTAAATTTCTTGTCAGTGACCATGTTGTCTTCAAATAGTTAATAAGATTTGATTTTGATGTTAATATTTCACTTAATGTGAAACAGACGAATAAGTTTTTGTTAAGTCACTACTCCGAAACGGCTCGACCCATTTTCGTGAAATTTTATATGCATATACAGTAGGTCTGAGAATCGGACAACATCTATTTTCCATCCCCCTAAATGTTAAGGGTTTAATTACCCTTAATTTTTTTTTAACTTTTTTTCGTTTTTATTTCTTTATGATACATCATACAAAAATACATATTTATCTCACCGCAACCTTGTTGTCTTACTTGTTGTTGAATGGTTTTTGTATTGTGACCGTGATTTATAATTCATTCATTTCCTAATTTTCAATTGAAAGTTATGTTCATAATTTATTAAAAACACATGAAAGACATGAGGAGCTCGATGGCGCAGGTGGTTAGCGCATTCGGTTGCGTCTATCGTTGAAGTTAAGAAACTTTCGCAGTGGTCGGTCATTGGATGGGTGACCAAAAACATTTATCTCGAGTTCCTCCTTGCTTCGGAAGGCACGTTAAGCCGTTGGTCCCGGCTGCATCTGCAGTCGTTAGCACCCGCCAATCCGCACTGAGCCCGCGTGGTGGGTCATGGCCCAATCTCCCTATTCCATCCATAGGGAAGGCCTGTGCTCCAGCAGTGGAAACATTAACAGGCTGATGATGATGATGATGATGATGACATGAAAGACATATATAGAATCATATTATAATAAATATTTGCAATTATATTTTTATTTTTTTAAGCATTTAACTGCTTGTTTTAAAATGTTTAAATCTACCCGCACACTTCGCTATCCGGGCGAATGCACTGACCATTATGCTACTGCGGCCCTAACGACCGTGTCGAATTTTTCCAAGTGTTTCTTAAGCTGCAAGGCAGCGACATCTCTTCGTATTGTACGTAACCCACAATGTCAAATGAATACCTTTACAAGTATTTAAAATTTGAGAGAAGAAATAGCAAAAAAAACCAGGACCAGGCAGCAGACGGGACTCGAACTTGCCCGCTACGCTATCCTGGCGAATGCACTGACCATAATGCTACTGCGGCGTTGATGGCCGTGTCGAACAATATTTCGCAAGCAGTCACCTTCATTGTCATCGAAATAAATATTCACGTTTATATGGACACTTGTAGTGTTATAACTTATTTAGTTTATTGTAGGACACACCTTTTTATATTGTAAATAGTTGACATATGTATTTCAGTGTTTACGACAATGATTATTCATAGCGGCTAGATGAAATATAATTCTATATAAATAATGTGGTACGAGTCATATGACGGCTGTTGAGGAAATCTCATAATGTACCTAAGAAATCACCATCAATATTTTTGACGACCTCCGGGGCCGAGTGGTTTGTACGCCGGGTTTCATGGTGTCGCCGACTCGAGAGGTCCCGGGTTCGAATCCCGGTGGGGGCAGATGTTTGTGTAATGAATACGAGCATTTGTACTTCAGTCTTGGACGTTTATTATGTATTTCTATATAAATATACATATACATACTCTACATATAAACATACACTTAGCGTCAAATATCAAGAAGTTTTGAATGGAAATTTGAACAGGGCCACACACGCGGAAGATTTAAATTCTCGTTACGTCCGTTGATGTGCTATTTAAATCTGAGGCTTATGCAAAACTTCTTGAGATTTGACGCGTTGCGGGATCGAATTCGACTATTTGAATTCGTGCTAAGGGTAGATACTAAAGGAAACTCCACAATCCAGGTGATGTGTATAATAACCGTACTACTGAGACCAAGTTTTATCAGTTCGGTCAACCGGACTAAAATCGAACTACTGATACAAGGGGAAATTTATTATCTAGTACTTTTGTTTACTTTCATCGCTAGTCAACATATCAAACAGATTACTTTTTCCATGATAATATTTTATGGAGGTATTAAACGGTTGGTAACCGTGGCTAACGATCTCACTCACTTAGGTGAGCACCTTTTTAGAAGATGAATTTACCTACTAAAGAAAAAAAATCATGATAGGTAATTTGATTTATTTGATGATTTCATTAAAAATATTGTCACAGTTGTACACATTTATACTTTTACAAACAGTTATAAACAATAATTTATTACAAAATACAAATTTCTCCATTCTCTTATAACTATTACTTTGTGCGTTGTTCAATATTTGCATTTTAAATAAAAAATAATTAACAATTACTTAATTCTAGTAATCTCATTAATTAACTTTAAACTACGAGATTCATTGTTTGCAGAACTTTTATATTTTAAGAACAATCTATTAGTATATTGCTTCAAGTATTTTACACTAATGTACTAAACTAATTATCTAAATTAACTCTTTTAATCCTAAAATCTGTAACAATATTGTAAAAAATGCTAAAAAATGATTATTTTGTACAACATTTTTCATCTATCTTACCTCTAATAATCTCAGATGTGACTTACTATTTACTGTATATTTATAGAAATAAGAGTTCTACAGCTATTCTGTAAAAATATTTTAAAAATAAGTCAAGAGGCACTGTTTCAATTCTTCGAAATTCAATAAGACCCTTTACAATTTTGTATGTACACATAAGGCAATAGTTTCTTTAAAATGTAATTCTACTCGTAAATGCAAATACTCTATTTTATCGTACATAATCAACAGTGGAAGACAAAAAAAACAATATTTACACTATCTAAAGATTTGTGCGTGTCTTTTATAACAAAAAATTATTTCTAAGTAACTGTACCTCAAAATTTTCACAAATCGACTCTTAAATTTAGAATAAATTTTAAAATTAGTCAGTCTCCACATGATTTTTACAACCTTCAAGTGATTTGCACCATTACTAATGTTCATTCATATAAATATTACTGGATCATTTGTAGGTACTGGTTTTCTTCATAAAACGAAGACAGTGAAGTTTGGAGATCATTCACAACCATATTGTCGCCTCCCTGTAGAGAGTGGGTACTACTTGATACCATTACAGAACTCTTCCAGTTTTCGCAATTCTCCACATACTCCAAAGTCCTCTGATACTTCTCCTGTCGCATAGTATTTTGGTTATTTGTATTTTGGTCTCTGAGATATATCCCAGACCTGCACTTCACTCGGCTGGTTCTGACTTCTCAAGCTGTTCATGCTGCAGTCCGTTTGCTGTTCACCCACATTTTTCCCCATCTGATTACAGTTCATCGTAGGCCTCACCCCGTTAGGTTTTTGAATGCCTGTTGACATGTTTACGGAATTTTGTACACCTTTCTGCACGTTGTGTTTATTAAATTGATTACCTGGATAGTCCCATTGATTATAAGGTCTCTGATGATTGTAATATTGGTTGTTGTTCATCATGGCTTGGTTGAATTGATGATAATTTTTTGGTGGCGGTGGACCCATTACGTTCGCCGGATTATTAACAACAGAGTTGTAAGGCGGTGGTTGCGGATACTGCATTTGTTGGTTGTACTGTAAGTTTGATTGTTCACAATAGCTATTCATCGCACCTCGGCTCATGTTGCCGCTGTTATCTACGCTCATCATTGACGATCTAGACATTTGCATCGGATGCATCGTGTTGCTTTGGTTCGCATACATTTGCTGTTGGTAGTTCATTATCTGGTTGTTGTATACAAGGTTTTGCTGGTTTGGAGGCATCTGATTTATCATAGGCATTTAGTTTTTGGGTGTATTGCTGCATAATAGGATATTGCTGTATATTTTGATTTCTCATATTCATATTTTGTTGATTTTGCATCGAATAAGGAGGTGTTTGGTTGTATATGGTTTTGGTATTGATTAGGAATATTATTTCGATTGGGAATTTCAGTATTACAATTCTGTCGGTTATTTAAATAGTTTTGTTGTACTGGCTGCATTTGAGGTTGTTGGTTCATATTCATTATGTTTTGATTAGTATTCATTTGGTTTTGTACCGGTGGATTCATCTGCATACTTGCAATGTTTTGAATCATTGGACTCGCAACCCCTTGAGACATCGGGCTTTGTAAGCCAGGATGCATTGGACTCGTCATTCCGTGACTCATCGGGCTTGCAATATTTTGTGCCATCGGACTCGCCATATTAACCATAGCATTTCCCATATTTTGAGACATCGGGCTTCCGATGTTATTGTGTCGTGGACTCATCATTATTTGGTTAGGCATTTGAGGACTCATGAGGTTCTGCATGCTCTGAGGAGACATTGCGTTATGCTGAACATTAGAAATGACTAATGTTCATTCATATAAATACTACTGGATCATTTGTAGGTACTGGTTTTCTTCATAAAACGAAGACAGTGAAGTTTGGAGATCGTTCACAACCATATTGTCGCCTCCCTGTAGAGAGTGGGTACTACTTGATACCATTACAGAACTCTTCCAGTTTTCGCAATTCTCCACATACTCCAAAGTCCTCTGATACTTCTCCTGTCGCATAGTATTTTGGTTATTTGTATTTTGGTCTCTGAGATATATCCCAGACCTGCACTTCACTCGGCTGGTTCTGACTTCTCAAGCTGTTCATGCTGCAGTCCGTTTGCTGTTCACCCACATTTTTCCCCATCTGATTACAGTTCATCGTAGGCCTCACCCCGTTAGGTTTTTGAATGCCTGTTGACATGTTTACGGAATTTTGTACACCTTTCTGCACGTTGTGTTTATTAAATTGATTACCTGGATAGTCCCATTGATTATAAGGTCTCTGATGATTGTAATATTGGTTGTTGTTCATCATGGCTTGGTTGAATTGATGATAATTTTTTGGTGGCGGTGGACCCATTACGTTCGCCGGATTATTAACAACAGAGTTGTAAGGCGGTGGTTGCGGATACTGCATTTGTTGGTTGTACTGTAAGTTTGATTGTTCACAATAGCTATTCATCGCACCTCGGCTCATGTTGCCGCTGTTATCTACGCTCATCATTGACGATCTAGACATTTGCATCGGATGCATCGTGTTGCTTTGGTTCGCATACATTTGCTGTTGGTAGTTCATTATCTGGTTGTTGTATACAAGGTTTTGCTGGTTTGGAGGCATCTGATTTATCATAGGCATTTAGTTTTTGGGTGTATTGCTGCATAATAGGATATTGCTGTATATTTTGATTTCTCATATTCATATTTTGTTGATTTTGCATCGAATAAGGAGGTGTTTGGTTGTATATGGTTTTGGTATTGATTAGGAATATTATTTCGATTGGGAATTTCAGTATTACAATTCTGTCGGTTATTTAAATAGTTTTGTTGTACTGGCTGCATTTGAGGTTGTTGGTTCATATTCATTATGTTTTGATTAGTATTCATTTGGTTTTGTACCGGTGGATTCATCTGCATACTTGCAATGTTTTGAATCATTGGACTCGCAACCCCTTGAGACATCGGGCTTTGTAAGCCAGGATGCATTGGACTCGTCATTCCGTGACTCATCGGGCTTGCAATATTTTGTGCCATCGGACTCGCCATATTAACCATAGCATTTCCCATATTTTGAGACATCGGGCTTCCGATGTTATTGTGTCGTGGACTCATCATTATTTGGTTAGGCATTTGAGGACTCATGAGGTTCTGCATGCTCTGAGGAGACATTGCGTTATGCTGAACATTAGAAATGACTAATGTTCATTCATATAAATACTACTGGATCATTTGTAGGTACTGGTTTTCTTCATAAAACGAAGACAGTGAAGTTTGGAGATCGTTCACAACCATATTGTCGCCTCCCTGTAGAGGATGGGTACTACTTGATACCATTTCAGAACTCTTCCAGTTTTCGCAATTCTCCACATACTCCAAAGTCCTCTGATACGTCTCCTGTCGCATAGTATTTTGGTTCTTCTTCCTGCCGTTCGTTGCTTCTATCTGCGACTGAGATATATCCCAGACCTGCACTTCACTCGGCTGGTTCTGACTTCTCAAGCTGTTCATGCTGCAGTCCGTTTGCTGTTCACCCACATTTTTCCCCATCTGATTACAGTTCATCGTAGGCCTCACCCCGTTAGGTTTTTGACTGCCCGTTGACATGTTTACGGAATTTTGTACACCTTTCTGCACGTTGTGTTTATTAAATTGATTACCTGGATAGTCCCATTGATTATAAGGTCTCTGATGATTGTAATATTGGTTGTTGTTCATCATGGCTTGGTTGTATTGATGATTATTTTTTGGTGGCGGTGGACCCATTACGTTCGCCGGATTATTAACAACAGAGTTGTAAGGCGGTGGTTGGGGATACTGCATTTGTTGGTTGTACTGTAAGTTTGATTGTTCACAATAGCTATTCATCGCACCTCGGCTCATGTTGCCGCTGTTATCTACGCTCATCATTGATGATCTAGACATTTGCATCGGATGCATCGTGTTGCTTTGGTTCGCATACATTGGCTGTTGGTAGTTCATTATCTGGTTGTTGTAAACAAGGTTTTGCTGGTTTGGAGGCATCTGATTTATCATAGGCATTTGGTTTTGCGTGTATTGCTGCATAATAGGATATTGCTGTATATTTTGATTTTTCATATTCATATTTTGTTGATTTTGCATCGAATAAGGAGGTGTTTGGTTGTAATTATGGTTTTGGTATTGATGAGGAATATTATTTCGATTGGGAATTTTAGTATTACAATTCTGTCGGTTATTTAAATAGTTTTGTTGTACTGGCTGCATTTGAGGTTGTTGGTTCATATTCATCATGTTTTGAGTAGTATTCATTTGGTTTTGTACCGGTGGATTCATCTGCATACTTGCAATGTTTTGAACCATTGGACTCGCAACCCCTTGAGACATCGGGCTTTGTAAGCCAGGATGCATTGGACTCGTCATTCCGTGACTCATCGGGCTTGCAATATTTTGTGCCATCGGACTCGCCATATTAACCATAGCATTTCCCATATTTTGAGACATCGGGCTTCCAATGTTATTGTGTCGTGGACTCATCATCATTTGGTTAGGCATTTGAGGACTCATGAGGCTCTGCATGCTCTGAGGAGACATTGCGTTATGCTGTGGCGACATGACACTCATAGCACTTTGAGGGCTCATTACATTGTAAACACTTGAAGGACTCACAACACTGTGAGGCATATTGTGTGGGCTCATAACACTTTGCGGACTCATTGTACTGTGCGGAAGACTCTGTGGACTCATCATACTATGAGCGATATTTTGAGGACTGAGTACATTCTGGGGACTCATAACCATAGTTTTTGGACTCATCATGTTCTGTTTCTGAGGTATTGACTTCACCCTCATCTGATTTGGCTGCTCTGATGGATTCGCAGCCATCGTTTTAAGAGATTGCAAAGGATTATTACTAGCATTATTGGATGTCGGAGGTTTGTTAAAATCTTGTTCACAGTTTTCTGTGTTTACTTCAGGTATGACTTGTTCTTGCAAAGGATTCTTGCTTTCCGGTGACTTGTTGGCTAAAAGAGAACCACTATTACCCGACATGCTAACATCTAGCGATCTTAAATCAACTGGAATATCACTTATATTGAGATCACTTCCTATGGCACCTAAGTTTTTAAGTAGAGAATCGTCACTGGTTGCTACATCGCTAATTTTGTCACTGACGTTGTTAGCGTTATTTAATTCACTTGATGCATTGTCTTTGGTAGAAGCATCATTGTCTTTGCTCGTCTCCGGTTCGGGTGCATTGGTGGAGTCGGTCTTGGCTGGTGCTACCGATTCATTTGCCAATATTGATTGGTTAAGATATTGCATCATTTCATCTGGTATTACCAGCTTGTTCTCCACCATTTCACCTTCTGCAACCTGTGAACAAGAAACAAAAATAATTATTACATACAAATTCATTTCAAACATTTTTCTTATAAAACTGTCGATAAAACTAAAGGGCGCTTACTAAGAAAAAACTTGATTGATGAAGAAATTTAGCTTACCTGTTCTAAGTTAACTTCTTGGTTCGGATGGTGGACCTGAGCGGTCGTGACGACGGTGTTAGTGGAGTTAGAGCGAGACTCCTTGTAAGTTACCGTGTCATGATCATCCTCGGTCTTGAAAGGGAATGAAACATCACCCTGAAAGAAATAACAACATTTGTAAATGTTTCACATTAACATAGCGGATAATAGATCTGTATTTTGCTGAGTTTGCTAAATGACATATTTATTTAGTAAATGGTTACCATTTAGAATATTGTTTTCATCATTAGCCGATTATTATCCCTACTAATGTGGTATCGGCCTTTTTTGTATGACTCACCAACGGGCCCAGACAATTATTCCTAATTAATTGTCTGGGCCCGTTGAACTACTTAACTCGAAGCTCACTTTGAAACTACAATACTTGATAAACTTACCACATCATCAGCCCCACATGGATAGGGCTGGTACGTCTGCGTCTGGTCACTTAAGTTGGACTGCTCCGAAAGTCTTCTGGTCTCCTCTTTGACCTGGATGTTGGGGTCTAATTCCAATGCCAATTCTTCAGCTCGTACTTCTGAGCAAGTCACACCACGTAACAAGACCGCCTATAGAAAAAAATATGGATTGGCTTGTATTCTTATTATTATTATTGTGAATCAGGATTAATGAAATTTATTGCGATGCTTTTTACTTGCATCTCCAAACTTTCAAAAGTTCTCAAGACTTACGACTTGTGACAACGGCAAAGTTTTGAAAAGGTTTTACAGAGTGTATCCTAATTAAATTAATTGATGATTTTAGAATTTAGACTTCTTTTCGACCTGCCGAGTGGTTTGTACGCCGGGTTTCAATGGTGTCGCCGACTCGAGAGGTCCCGGGTTCGAATCCCGGTGGAGGCAGATGTTTGTATGATGAATACTAGCATTTGTACTCCAGTCATGGATGTTTAATATGTATTTCTATATAAATATACTTATATATGTACAGTATATGTATTCTATCCGTTACCCTAGTATCCCATAACACAAGCTTTACAGTGCTTACTTTGGGGCTAGGCTAATTGGTGTAAGTGTTGGAAATATTTATTTATTTATTATTTTGTAATAGATATTAGAATTAAAATATTAACCTGATTGCCTTGAGATGTCCTAACAGCTTGAACGGCTGCGAGGGCTGAGGATGGCGCCGGCGCATATCCCACGCATGATACTTGACTAGATCTGAAAGATGGAAAAATATTGATCATGTATATCTTGAAAACTGAAGACTATCAGCTTGTACTAATATGCTGTTGAAATTAATTAGATAAGAAACATAGACATAAAGAATGGATTATGGACTGAGCGTTCCCTGTTCTGTAAACTATAAAATGAAACTGAGTAGATATGTGTGAAAGATATGAAGCAATCGTGCGACCAATAGTTGGTATATGTATCGACTACATCATCACTGGATATCTCGAGAGAAATGTCAATTCCATGGGAGAGTCCAGTCTCTATCTATGGGCCACACTGAGGAGTTCAATGGCAGCGCCTGAGGTGTACGACTTGTCCGTGCAATCTGATCATCAGATGGGTGACCAATAATTGATTATCTCAACTTCTCCGTGCTGAGTAAGCAGTCACCAATCTACACTGTCGCCAGTCCGCTATTCTATCCTAAGTAAAGGCTTATCAAGCCGGTTTAAAACCAAAATCCATGATATCAAACCAGTGGTTTCAAGTAGTTTTAATAATATTTAAAATATTGAAACTTCATTTTGGTGTGTAATGAAGACTAGATCGTATTCCTTACTCACCTTCTACTGCTGTCGGGCGAGAGCTGATCGTAGGCGGCGTGCGGGGCGGCGAGTCTGGGCGGGCCCGCGCCGCCCACCGCTCCTGATACTACTGATGCCTGGCTGCTTTTGCGGGATATGTCTGATGACCTGGGCACAAATAAACATGACATAAATAAACTGGGCACATATAAAAGTTAAGCTTTTACTAACACATAAGTATTAAGTTTATTTACTAATTATGGTATTTTATATCTGTATGTATGTTAGACTTTAAGGTATGTATCTATGGGCCTACGTTGCCTGTTTGTAAATTAATAAATAAAATAAATAAAAAATAAATAAACACGACATAAACATACTCATCAAAATAGTCCAAGCAAATGTTATACGGTTTCGAACTTTTGAATGGTATTTACTGTTTAATCCTATCCGACTAATATTATAAATGTGATAGTTTGTATGTTTGCTACTCAATCACACGAAAACTACTGACCGGCTTTGGATGAAATCTGGTGCACGTATAGTTAATGACCTGAATATACTCTTTGTCCCGGAAAAGAGTCAGGTTCCTGAGGGATTTAAGAAAACTAAAGTTAGCGCGGACAAAGTCGCGGGCTAGCATTTATATGTATTACGCTAGCTGCCGCCCGCGACTTCGTCCGCGCTATGCTTTTTTAAACCAGTTATATTTTTGAGAACAAAAAGGTGTATCCCAAAATCCAAATCTACTTTGCTACATTAGTTAATAAAACACTGTATGGTTCATTAAACATTGATATATTTTTTCCGTAAATTATAGTCATGTTGATCAGCTTTTTTTGATGTGTGTAATGGTGTATACCTGATGAGTAGAACACATAGACCTACAACATAGATTTTTTGACGAATTCCGCAGTAGTACGATCAAAATGGCAGAACTACTTTCATAATTAAACATATCATATTTTCGCATTTACTACCGATTCTTTACACATTTATTAAAATATTTGCTACTCTCTTGTTCTCGCAAAGTAAAGTATATGAAGTAAATTTGGTTAGCCTTTAAAGGCAATCTCCGAATTGTATTTCCCCCTTGAATTGGACAATTGGAAACAAATTTCGCGTTTTAGAAAATAACATATAGGCAATTAGGCAATGGTCAAAAAGCTTTATGTTATTAATCAACAAGATCGGCTTTTGTTACTGTATTGCACTTTATTGTTTCGTCTTACCTGGCACTGTAAAGACTGCTTCCAGACGAGATTCCCGAGTCCCGCCTTGTGTTAGGCACTCCAGTCTTTATTTCAACAGCTACGCTGGTATTTCCTAGTTCGGTTCTTCCGGGAATGCCACCTGAAATTAATAAGGCTCATGATAACACGGTTAACTAGGTACTAGAGCGCTCTAGAGTGCGAAAATGTTTAAATATCGAATTCGTATCGTTTGCGAGTCCGAAATGTCATTGTCAAATGTGTACTGATTTTGAGTTCTCGTTACGTGCTTTGTGCCGCTGCTGTTCAAGTTTCCATAAAAAATTTGACATTGACATTTCGGTTTGCAAACTATTCGAATTCGATAATGGTTCAAGCTAGGGGTACTGAACTATGCGCCATTGAATGCCAGAAAACTTGTAAATTGATCTCCTTTTCTTTATTTACATGCTACGACTATTAGTCATAAAAGAGCATTATTTGTAAAACAGTTGCTATCTGTTGGGTTCAAGTTGCTGTTCAGAGCCTTTTTCTCTACTTTATCTTGTTGTCTAATCCTTTAAGCCATTAAATACAAAACGTTAAACAACAGTTTCTTAATTATTCATTTCCTTTAATAATTTATTTTGTTATTAGACTAAATTTTGTTTTTGATTACATTGGGAGAACGATAGATACCACACCTCGCGGGACTATTTATCGTAATTTAACGACTGTACATACTGAGGAATATTCGATAATAATTTCTGATCACCCATACATTGACAGACCGATGGCGACAGAATCTCAACTTCCACAATTGCAGATTAGAACTCCTCCACTCAGAAAAAATTAAATCAAAATCGACGGATACGCTAAAATCTAAACCACTCAGCTCATGAGTCTTTCCAGCTCCATCTTGTTGGTCCGGAAACGTGGTGTGTGATTATGAGCCCTGAGTTCTCCCATAAGTGAAGAAGAATTCTGAATCGAAGACTACGCTGAAATAAAGACTAAACCAACTCACCTCCGCCTATATCAGCCCCGTGGATTGGTGGCATAAGTCTTCCCAGTCCCATTTTGTTGTTCTGGAAGCGCGGTGTGTGATGATGAGCCCTTGGTTCTCCGATGGCCACCATCGCTCGAAGCATCAAAGGCAACTGGCCTACTTCTCCTACCACTTCTTGCTCCACCTGTAAGAAAGATTTGAGGTCAGAAATTCCTGAACTAAGGCGCCGAAAATTGAAAACGTCACCATATTTATAAGTAAGTCAAATAGATTTTACTTGATAATAAAATTGGATTATGATTAAGTGTTGCTCTAACAGGCACATAAGGAGCTTCCGGGTATGGTATTTGTTTTTCTGGTCAGGTATTCTTCCTACAGAGAAATTGCAAAATTCAGCAATTATATGAGGGACATAATGTCTGTTACATACCTCGCCGTCTATCCTGAAGTATGGAACGCCGTTCTCGTCGCTGAATCCGCCGAGACCTGAACCACCAAAGTCCAAATCTCCGCCGCATTGTGCTGACAACTGCAATTAAGAAGTTCGTATAAAAGATTTACACAGACTTTTCGTATTTTGAGCACAATATTCATGAAATAATATCAAGAAATTAAAAATATCGTGTGCGGTTAGCGTTTCGCGCCACCCTTTCTTTTCTTTATTGGGACAGAGATATGTCACATTTAAGCACTGTATATGTATTCTATTCGTTACCCTAGTATCCCAATCCGTTATCCTAATAATTATTATCCGTTATCCTAACACAAGCCGCACAGTGCTTACTTAAGAGTAGGTGGCAAATTGTTGTATGTTAAAAAAACTGTTTTAACATTGTCACTTTTTTTTACTCTTGACAGAAGTAGAAAACCCCTCTCATTCCCGCGGGCACTTCGCTCTCCTCTGACTGCGGCGAGCATCCCTGGTACATACCTAAAGGAACTTGATGGCGCAAATGTTCAGCGCATTCGGTCCGCGATCGTGACAGTCAAGCAACTTTTGCAATGACGGGTCATCGGATGGGGAAGCAACTATTCAGGAAGCCATGTGATATTAGTAAGCTGATGATGACGATGACGTACCTGATATGCGGGCGTATTGAGCCCATGAGGCAGCGGTGAGACGAGGCTATCGTTCTTGACTGAAGCAGAGGAAGTATGCCCTCTCACTCCTAATGGGACTCCGTCTTCCTCTGACTCCAGTGGTCCATGTATATTCGTGGTACATACCTGATGTGCGGGCGTGTGGAGTCCATGAGGCAGCGGTGAGGCGGGACTCTCACTCTCGACTGAAGTAGAGGAAGTATGGCCTCTCACTCCCACTGGCACTCCGTCTTCCTCTGACTTCAGTGGTCTATGTATATTGGTATGTACCTGATGTGCAGGAGTGTGGAGTCCATGAGGCAGCGGTGAGCCGTGGCTTTCGCTCTTGACGGACGCGGAGGAAGTATGCCGTCTCACTCCCACTAGCACTCCGTCTTCCTCTGACTCCAGTGGTCTATGTATATTGGTACGTACCTGATGTGCGGGCGTGTGGAGCCCATGAGGCAGTGGTGAGGCGGGGCTCTCGCTTTTGACAGAAGCCGAAGAAGTATGACCTCTCAATCCCACAGGTACTCCACCCTCCTCTGACCGTGGCGAGGAACCCGCCCCGCCACCGCCAGACTCGGCCGAATCGTCGCCACGTCCGCAACCTGAATAAAAGGAAGTAAATTTCAGAATTGAGTTCTAATACCAACTAGTAGTAATAATATAAGCAGCGCGATTCAATTTTATGGCGCGTGTGAAATTAGCATCAAGCGCTACAATGCGCATGATTCTGTTCTTATTATTACAGTATTAAGATTGAATTGCACTATGAATAGGTACTATGGTATATAAGCGTCATGTGCAAGTTTGCCACCTTTTTTTACATCGCAATCTTCCTCGATCACATCGATCGATGACGAATGAGGTGGCCTAAGCTGGAGTACGCAAACTCAATAATGCCTATTTACTTGTCTTCTTGCCTTGAAGAGACTTGTGTTATATATGAATCACCTGGGAAAGGAACTTGGGAAGAGAATTCAATTCCTAGCGGTTCGCATAATGAAAGAGACAGAGAGAATTTACACCATGTTCCAATGGAGACCGAGCATGATCAGACATTTAGATATTGATGTATCAATGAATTTATTATGACTACATATTTTCAAAAGATCGGCCTTACCTTTGTGTTTCTTACTGGCGTAGAATTCTGCTCCGTGAACGGTCTTCACATGCTTTCGTAGTGACGAGGGGTCCGTATACCTTTTCGTGCAACCAGGTGCTTTGCAAACGTAGGGTTTCTGATGAAAAGAGAATATATCATGAAATCAATCAAAGTACAATTGTTTCACATAAACCGATTTTTTTTTAGCTAGTACTGGCTGCATTAGCAGTTCTGAACAACTTAATAGCATTAGACTCGCATGGCGCTATTACCGTCTTATTATAGTTTCTGTACGGTACAAGCGTACATCTTGCGAAGTCATCACTTTTCATAATTTTGTTAATAATTACAAATTTGCAACAGTTCACGTTTCCTTACCGATCGCGGCGGGCGCGCACTCATTTATCAATCATTTATCATAGCATAGTATCAGTTTTTTATATAGTAATAAATAGTTTAAATTCTTATATCATCTTTTACTTATCATATCAACTCTAGGTGTACCGTACAGTTTCAATTTATGAGAATATTAATAAGCCATTTTATAACTTGAACCTATTTGTACCGTTGTATCTTACCTCATTACTATGTGTTCTATTCTGATGTTTGGCTCGGTCACTGGCGTTAGAGAAAGCCTTAGCGCATCCAGGATACTCGCAAGTGTAAGGTTTTTCTCCCGTGTGGCTTCTCAGGTGTGTCTTCAAGTTTTCTAATCTGGAGTAAGCTTTGCAGCATCCTTCAAACTGTAATAAAGCAATGACTTAATTGATGTATAGGAACCATGGGCATGTGTCACGAGAAAGGGCAGTGTTTAAATCTCTTAAATTGGGCATACTTAATACCTATACTAGGAGTGAACTCCAGTTACGAAATCCTAATTAGTTTTTATACTAATTGAGAAATATATATTTATTAACTAGCCCAATTTAGAACTTTGCTGGACACAACTTGTCTGCATCATGAAGTATCGCCGCACACGGGCCACACGCCACACCCACAAACGCCGCAACGAGAAGCTAGAAGCGGCTACTAAAGTGGCTGAAGCGCGCGACAGCGGCCGACTAAGGTAAGAGAGAGAGGGGTGGGGAATCGCGCGAGTGACGTGTGGCTGCGTTTTGTATCGGCGCATTAAGCGAGCAACAACGATTTGTGGCGTGTGGCGGCCACCGGCGTGCCATGTGTGGCGAGTCCATATAAAATGTATGAAAACTAAAAGAAATATGCCGTTGGCGGCGTCTTGTGGTTGTGGTCGGTGGCCCGTGTGCGGAGACACTAATAATAAAACTGCCAACTCTGTGATATCACATTCACGAGTTTTTCTTAATTAGGATTATTTAAAAGAAGCATGAAGCCGTCTTTTAAAGACCACCATAGGTAAAAAAACCACGATCATAAGCTAATTGTACAGTACCTGCGCAGAAGTCATTTGCAACCAAGCCGTGCTTAATTTTGTCCATACTTATGGATATTTTGAGATAGTAAAACGACATCATATCAAAATATAGTACTTAATTACGGAATTAGATTCAACTTACCGTGCATTTATGAGGCTTCTCCCCAGTATGTCGCCTCATGTGAACCACCAGCATGTACTGAGCTTTGAACGGTTTCTCGTCCCTAGAGCAGCCGACCCATCGGCATACGAAAGCTTTCTTGCTGGCGTGAATGTGGTCGGTGTTTATGTGTTTCACCAAGTCATCTTGCGTAGGAAATTCAAGCTTGCAATCCACCTGGAATCGAGTTTTAAGAATGTACTCTTCATCAACAATAGGGTTTAGTTTTAACTAAAGGTGTTTTTTTTATTTAATTTTGTCTAGCTATCTTCGAAAGACTTTTATTGAGCTTCGGTTATTTTATTGTTCGATTTTTAAAGTTTTATTGTCTATGTATGAATTTATTACTTAATTTAGTTAATAAAGTACTTTATTTAAAATTCTTTTTTGTAATTTTTGAGTTTATTTATTTGACCCTAACTACCGTAAACTACCACCAATTCCAAAATTGAGAGACCTTTCTGAGAAGAACCGGCGAAACAAACTCAAGAGAGGCTTTCTATATCCTTGCTCCTTCTTCATTTAGATTGCCTGAAAAGCAAACTTTGGACATCTAAAAACTTTACCAACATTTTGAACTCGTACGTAGATTTTAGAAAAGCTGGTTATTAAACAATTGATTTTTGGTTATAGATAATATTACCCTATGAGTTTTGAGGATGTCTCGCTCAAGAGCGAAATTATAATCGCGAAGTTACCGTTTGCATTTTCGATTGCAAGCGGGCAATGCAGAAATAATTGCAAGGTATTTGCATCACAAGATAGTGTAACCTTGTTTCGTTAATTTACTTTTATCTAGACTCAATAAGAAGTGGAGAAATTACCCAATGGCAGTTGGTTTCTATGAAGTCTCCTGGCTCGTCCTTGGAGTCCAAGCCGTCGTGGACAGTGCTCTCGGCGGCAGCAGACAGGGGCTTGTTGCTGTGGTGGTTGTCCCTCAGCATCAGGCTGGGTGGTGATTTCCGTTGCGTGATGTTTGATGCGCTGGTGAAAAATAACGGTATCAGCATCATCAGATGATTCCAGATTTCCGATTCCCAATTTATAAATGAGACTTCGATATACCGAATCTTGGTAAAAGGAGCTGCTTTGAAAATTACAATTATTCACATTTTACTTTGAGTTTTCTGTTAAATATTATCTCTGAAGATGTGCCGCCGTAATAAAGATTGCATTACGTAAATCTTAAAACCTAGAATATGTTTAAGTGTAAATTCAGCGATATCTGAAATATCACGATCACGCAAATGGTTATCGTGTACGGTCTGCGATCGTGGAAGTTATTCAACTTTCGCAATGGACGGTTATAGGATGGAAACCAACAATTTACTCCTTCGTGCTTCGGAAAGCACGTTTAACTGTTTGCTCCCTATTCCATCTGTAGCGAAGGCCCGTGCCTCAGCAGTGGATACATTAATAGGCTGGTAATGTTGAACTAAAATGTCCTACCTATCTGCTTCCATAATGCTAGTGACTTCAGGCTGCTGCTGCGGTTGTTGCATGTGTTGCGGTGGGGTGCCGTCCAACCCCAGTCCAGGTCTGACATCAACAGGCGCGCCCATTATAAGCTGCGTCGGTGATGATATGTGAGATCTGAAGATGAAATATTATTTGTTAATGTCTAAATTTATAGATGATAAAATACGTGGCAACATTATAGTATTGTGATATTAAAGACTCTTTGCTGAGCTGCGCTTAGATACTTAAGCAAATTTTCCCCAACTCCCCAAACCCAACTGGCAAAACTGTGGCAAAATACTAGCAAACATTGCACTTGATGGAAGCGATTTACTATGTAGGAACCTGACAGAAATATAATCTTATTTTTATGCAAGACATAGCAAATTACTGCACCTGGTGCTAACTGTGGGTAAAACCATCTTGCTTGCCTAAACGTATTCGTCTACTCTCTGAAGCATTGGAAAGTTACCAACAGAAATACATCACCAGCAAAAAAGTGTTAGTTTGCTTACCCAGTCGATTTATCTTCTCTTACACCCGGTTTATAGCAGTTAAGTCTTCTCGCTCTCTATCTCGTGACGCACATAAATGTTACCTTTTCAGATTCATTAATTTAAGCGAAAATCTTAAGTTTTCGATTTAAACCATTACTAACCTTTTCTGGGCGAGATAGCCCCTCCAGAAAAACCATGTCAAGGGTAATTTTTGATGACGTCTTTTTCCTCGCGGCCCCCATCCCAGAGGATAGTGGCACCGCACTATATATTATAATGTTTCATTCTCACCTATGAATGCCAGCAACCAGGTGCGCATGCGCTGCGTGATGTGCCGCCGCTGCCGCTGCCTGCTGGTGCGCCGGGTCCATCAACACCCCGCCGGCCAGTACCCCGCTACCCCCCACCACGCCGCCTCGCGCCAGCAGCTGCTGAGCGAGCGACGCGTGCGAGAGGGACAGAGCTGGTGATATCGCACCTGGAAACAGGAGGTATAGTTAGTCAAAGTTGATTTTTAAGTTGGAAATTAACTGAAGCATTTCCTGGGATTATGTTTTAGATGAGAGAAACAGCAATTTAACTCTGATGCTTAATAAGATACCCTGTGATCATTTTGCTTATTCGTTCTTTGTCATTATACTTCAAAAGCTACAAGTAGTAATAGGATTTTCAAGCCCTGGATAACCTCAGGGCTACTGCGTTGTATAAGAAATCGGGATAAACTTTATCAAAAAGCTAAAAAGAACCCATATAACGAACTTCATCTCATCACTTACAAACGCTACAGAAATTTTTGCAACAATTTACTTAAAAAGATTAAACGGGAGTATGAAAGAACCGAATTTAATAAGCACAGTAAAAATCCACTGGTACCTGGAAACTTATTAAAAAAATCACAAATTTAAATGTTAAATCTTCAAATGCTTCTAAACTTTTACTTATCAATGAAAATCCATCACGCTCTGTAGACATAGTAAATACATTTTTTGCTAATGTTGGTAAAGATCTGGCATCAAAACTTGAGGCAAGTCGTAATGAAAATACCTTTCAACATTCTTTATTAAATCCAGCATACGATTCTATGGCTGTTTTTACTACGGATAATCAGGAGATTGACCGGCTGATACTCGAGCTTAAGCTGGATAGCGCCATTGGTTGGGACGGTATTTCACCTGGACTTATCAGAGCCGCTCGACACATTTTGGTGCCTATTATTTGTCATGTTTTTAATCTCTGCCTCTTATCCGGTAAATTTCCTACTGTCTTCAAAAAAGCACTCATACATCCGATACACAAGGGAGGGGATATCACTGTAAATAATTTTAGGCCTATATCCGTGCTTACTATTTTGTCCAAATTGCTGGAAAAAATTATAAATAAGAGACTCGTCACTTTTCTTAATGCACACAACATCTTGGCTGCAAATCAATTTGGTTTTAGGTCTGGTAGAAGCACTGAAGATGCGGTGCTCGAGTTGACTAACCACGTGGCGTTAAATTTGAATAAGAAATTAAAAACTGTAGCCATCTTTCTCGACATGTCAAAAGCATTTGACACCGTTTCTGTTCCAATCCTGCTAAATAAGTTAGAAAGAGTAGGGGTCGGGGGTCTGGCACTTGATATTTTTATCAGCTACCTAAGCGAACGTTCCCAAGTTGTCAAGATTGACAACTTTATTAGTAAAGAGGTATCACTCACTTACGGCGTTCCACAGGGTAGTGTCCTCGGGCCGACCCTGTTTTTGGTGTACATTAACGACCTATGTATGATGTCATTAAACAACTCCAAAATTATCACCTATGCAGACGATACTGCTATTATAGCTCATGGTACCAGCTGGATGGAAGCGCGTACATGCGCGGAAGCTGCTCTGAACATAGTTCTGAAGTGGCTAAATTCAAATTTGCTTACCCTTAACACCCAGAAAACTAAATATATTACTTTTGCTCCCAGAGTTGCATCCCAGCCGGATTCCTCCTTTGAATTGATTGCACACAGATGTAACAGGACAATGGACTATGTCTGTGACTGTCCTAATATTACTAGAACACATAATATAAAATACCTTGGCGTGTTAATAGATAGCACTTTGTCTTGGAACAATCAGGTCGATTCCCTCGTCTCAAGGGTTAGAAAACTAATTTTTGTGTTCAGAAATTTACGAGCTTCCGCCGATTTCAGTATACTAAAGGTCGTCTATTTTGCCTTAGTACACTCTATTTTAACATACTGCATTACCGCTTGGGGCAATGCTGGTAAGAGTTTCTTTCTTCGATTGGAAAGAGCTCAAAGAGCTGTACTAAAAGTTATGTCCCGTAAGCCCCTTTATTTCCCGACAAATACTTTGTACGCTATTTGTAATTTACCAAGGGTTAGACACTCTTTTGTGTTAAATACTGTGCTGCGTAAACATGCTACCCTGGTGTATGATCCTAACCTGACAAAACAAGTACGTCGGTCTGATAGAGTGTGCAAGTTAGAGACCTGCAGCCTTGGTGTGGTGAGTCGACAGTATAGATTCCTGAGCCCAAAATTGTATAACAAGGTAAATAGAGTTCTTGACATTTACAGGCTTTCTTCAAGAGAATGTAAAGCTTTGGTTGACAATTGGCTATATACGCTTACATATGAGCAGATAGAAGACTTTCTGAATAGATAGTAACGGAGGATAACCTCAGCATATTCCATTAAGCTGCACACCCACAATCACACTCACACTCTCACACACACACACACACACACATACACACACACATACCCATGCGCACACGCATAAAATGCATTTAAATGATTTGTTAATTTAAGTATGTTAAATTAAATTTAAATCATTCATAATATTTATTGTTACTTTGTTATATGTAAGGAACTCCAATGTACTCTCAGAGGTGGGCGATAATAGTTGCGACACAGTTTTTATAACTAATGCAATTATTATCGTACACATTTATTGTATTCACTGTTTTTGTTCCAATAAAATATATTTCATATTTCATTTCATTGAGTAGACTATGCGGCGAAGGGGGGAAAAGACTTAACGGATTTTGAAGAGCTTTGATACAACATTTGATATAGTCGTAGGATTAAAACCACTTAACAACTCTCTTACCACTGCGGTTAGCCAAAGCACCATATTTTGAAGAGGTTTGAAACAACACTGGACGTGTTGTATCAATCATGGTATAAGAACCATTTAACAACTGCCTTACCAGCACTGAGCTGTCCATAGCCTCCGGCAGAAGCGGCCAATAGTGTCCTCACAGCTAAGCTGGCCGTTGAAGCCCTGATGACTGCCCAGGTCTAAGGAATCCGCCGAGTAGAGACTCCAGGATTCCCTCTTACGGTTGTAGGAAGCACTTCGTTTTGAAATGGAATTGGAGCTTTTGCACAATGATCTTACCAGCACTGAGATGTCCATAGCTGCCGGTGGAAGCAGCCGAAGGTGCTCTGACAGCTAAGCTGGCCGGCGACGCCCGGATGACAGCGGCCAGGTCTAAAGACTCCGCCGAGTAAGGACTCCAGGATACCGCCCTCTTGCGGTTGACCGAAGCACCTATCGCTCCACCTGATAACCTCAAACGAGTGGGTGACGCTATTCTTGATCCTGGAAAGATTTTATCATGATGTTTAAATAGCAAGCAGATATCCCTTTTAAGATAAATAATAGTCCCATAGTCATAGGTACTAATAATACTAACATGGAATAAGCCTAACATTGTTACTAACTTGTACTTGTAATTCTACGGATGTTTATATAAAATAAATTATTATTATTATGGGTGCATATCAAAATAATTCACATTTATTTTATTTTCTAGGAATGAATTAGAATACGTCCACAATACGAGAAAAGTATTGGGTGGGATGATGGTTATTTTGATATCATTTAAGTACCAGATATCAAAATATAGATATAAATAAACCAGGTCTTGCAGTCTTCAAGTAGTTAAACTCAGTTAAGAATAAAATATTGGTGTGGTTTCATGAAACCGTGATGCAAGTGAATTTCTTTCTCGGGAATCGAACCCGGGCTGCCCGCGTGGCAGGTCAGCTTTCTACCACAGAACCACCGATACTCGTTGATAAGGAATTATTTTTTCAATTAAAATTCATGATTTAATGCGACAACGTTAAAGTTTTACTTTGAGAAAATCATAGGTTCATTCAAATGGTTTTCGGTATTTGGCGGCGATGTGATTTTCTTATTTCAATAACTTACTACTGAAATGAGCAGTGCTATATCAAGTATAAACAGGGATGATGACTATTTGTTTTTCGTTTATCAAGTAGATAATCAAAAAGTTTTGGACACCTATTTTTTCGTTTTTCACATACAGAGATATATTGATTTGAAATGTCGCATGCCGTCACGTTTTGGTACAATTTTTACTTAAAAGTGACGAAGTGACTCCCAAACTTTTTTATTTTTTTGGTTGATTGACTTAAGAAAAAATACGTGTCCATTATTTTGTCATCACCCCTATTCAGGTATATTTTGTATTTAATTATTTAATATACCTTCTAGCAATATGCTTAGAGTAAACTTTCTCGGCAAGTTCCGCTAAGCCAGTCAACACTATAATAAGATTCTCAGCACCACTTTAATGAGCTTGTGACTATTTTAGAGCTTATAAACTATAGAGTGTCTAAGCAATTGGACAAATAGCGGATATAATCTAGGAATAAATAAAAAGATTATAACATTCCGTGGATAATTTAGTTTCAACGTGACATGATGATAATAAACCAATTCAGTAAAGAATTAATAAAATTACATTTAGGGGCATTTTTAGGTTTCATCCCAAATTGTCAGTCAAATAATAATTAATATCAAATACAGCACCCTGTTTTGGATACAGTTTTTGTTTGAACGACAATCTATACTAATATTGTAAAGAGAAAGGTTTGACTGTTTGTTTGTTTGTATTGAATAGACTCCGAAACTATATGACCGATTTGAAAAGTTCTTTCACATTTAGAATACTACATTATCCCTGATGAACATAGGCTATAGAATATTTCCAAAAAGTTAGGGCTCCGTATGAAAACTTCGGTAATGTAACTCAGGATGTGAAAAAAATACCAAAAAATAACCTTATATCGCTTACGCTTATCGGAAGTCATTGACAATAGAGCAAAGTGATGTACTAAAGTTTTATGGAGAACATAAATATCTACAAAAAAGTTCGCGATATCTTATATGTCTAACTATTACATTTATGTCACAACTAAAGATCCCCTGCGGTTTCGCTCGCTTTAATTTAAGAAAAAAGGTTATTGTGAGATAAACTTAAAAGATGGAATTTTTTTACCCGTTTTGGCAACATTTTACATCGATACTCCGCTCCTACCGGTTGCAGCGTAATATATAGCACTATGTATCACAAAAATATTATTTTCAAATCGGACAATTAGGTCCTGAGATTTGCGCGTTCTACCAAAAAAATGGTGCATTCGGTACAACTAAACGTGTCCTAAACTATGCAACAAAATTTTCACTATCAGTCAAATAAATTTTCATGGAAGATTTATAATTATATAAAGAAATTCATTGTGTATAATACAAGCCTGAGAACAAAAACTATATAGTCTACACTACAGTTCTGCACAGAAGCGAAGCGAGGGCGGCCGACTATCAGAAATAAAACTGTCTGATGACGCCACATTTAGCATTTGGCATAGCAAATGCTTGGCTGAAAATCAGACATTTTGTAAGTTAATCACGTACCTTCTAAACTAAGTTGGAAGTCTTGGCTGGCCAAAGTGCTGCCAGCATGTAATTCCGGATGCAAGCTTCTCGCCGCGCTTAAATACTCTAAACCTGTAACAATAGAAAAAGGTATTAGCTATTTAGAATGAATCGAGTAAGAAGAAATCGCTGGATGCGATAGTTGATGATATCGATTTATGAAATCAGTTAAGTCACTCAGGTCCACTTGCTTCTGCATTCTTGATACAGATTAAGGCTTACCCTTTTTATCATATAATATATGAATATATATATATATATATATATATACTTATTTCCGTACATAGGGAAAATCTGTGCCACAACAGTGGAGAATTAATAGGCTGATGATGACGATGCTAATTCCGTCTTTGCCATTGTTTAAAATCAAAAAATACCAACAAAATTAATAACCTCCTCCTTTTGAAATCAGTCAATTTGAGATAAAATGAAACTTATAATGTTACAAGGGCTTATACATGATTGAGCAGGGAGGAGTCCCACATACCTTCTTCTCGCTCCCCCGGTGGTTGAAGGATGCGTAAAGCATTTCCCAGACAAAAAAAAAGGGCTTATACATGATAAGCTTTTAAATTGATAAAATCTTAATTGCAAATGCGCCTTCTAAGGCGTCTCTAATGGCACTAATAGCCCTTGAGCTCTCGTAATCGTAAACCTAGCGCCATCTAGTAAGCGCGCGGTCAAAATATTATTATGGCGAGTGACGATCAGTGTCTCAGGACGCTTCGCCCGTATTCAATGCACACTCTGCACCATAGGTAAAGCCTTAGATTAAAACAAAAAAAATTGTTTTAATCTAAGGGTAAAGCCGTCTCTGTGGGCGTTAGTTACATATAAACAAGATAAAAATGCCACATCAAAGATAATGATGTTTGTAATGGAACAGAACCCAATGCTTAAATATTTTAAGTAATTGTATACACAAATCCCTAAGACCTAAATAGGCGTTTTTATGTACAGAATGCGAAACCGGCGTCTACACATCAAGCGAGATGGTCACCCTAGCCATAACTGCAAATTGAGACGTCAACATGTTGGTCCAACTTGAATATAAAGTGACCACTTAACGCCAACACAGATTAATAATAGCCGGTGATGACTTTTATCGGCTATTTCTCGAAAACAGATGATAAAACTACATTCAGAACGTCCTAACGACAATGTTTTATTGTACGGCGGCGTCACATTTGTTGCAGCGAGGCAATGTTGCGTTGCAATCCTGTTTACTTTATAGTGTGCTTTATTATAACAGTAACAAATTTATTTTCAGTTATTCTTTCATTGACGCAACCCATGTAAATATTAACGGTAACTATTACAATAACAATTTATAGCTAATTTTAAGATGAAAAAAAATTTGTCATGGCACTTTCTAAGTGGTAAAGCTTTTAATTTCCATTTTCATAGTAGCTCTTTATATTCATCATTCACATTAGTGAACTGAGTTCTTTGAAAATCATAGGAAAATTAGTGATAAGCTTAAATATTTTAAAAATTATTTTAATTATTTTTGTGTAAGAATACAATTTTAACGTAATTTTTTGCTCTGTAGGTAAGCATTAGTGGCTGCAATACAGTTTATACTTTAGCGACTTCTTCCGGTCACGTGTTTTATGTAATGTTCATATTTTGTTTCCTAAATAAAGATTTCTTTTTTAATATTATTATCTGTTTATATTTCATTGAATCTAACTTCCAGAACTAGGTAAATATTAATTTGTTTGCAATAACAACTACCACTTCGATTTTAATTATTCCTAAGATTTTCATGGAACTTGTTGGAGTGATAGAGAAGTAAAAAAGTCTACCATATACAGACACGGATAGATTAATTAGAGAAGCTAATGCAGATTGTAGGATAGCCATCAATGCTATCGATCCAGCCAATCCCATATATAGTGTGTCATCGAGTTATGGTAGTGATATTTATTCCCTGTTCACCGCCAGACTATGAAATAACTAGTTTATTATATTATTTTATTATACACAGCTTCGAGCGCTTACTCAAACTCACAGAAGCCCAAGCTGTAGATACATTTAAAGAGCCGACAAGAATATTATTATAAAACGAAATTGAATTCTGTCCGTTTTGGTATGCCACAACCTTATAGTTTCGGGCTATTAATCAAACTAATCAAGCTGACTCCACGGGGCGGGCGTTACTTCAGCCGCTAGTCGCCTAAATAATCACATATAATACGCTTGAAAACAAACACTCCGGCTCTGAGCCGCAAAGAAGGCAAAAAAAGAGTTGATTTGTTGATCACGCTTCTTTGGCGGGCCAGGTCGCCCCGACCCGACCCGAAATAATAGGTTGATGTTAAAAGGCGTGAGCGACCACCAATTTGGCGAATAACTGGCCCAACAAGAAAACTCAGCACATCCTTTTTCCAATAACGCATGTGGTCCGCTTTTGTAGTGCCGATGCCGTGCCACGCCAGACCGGAGACCCAACGAAATTTTTACGTCTTCATCCATTGTGAGAATCTTCCGAATATGTCGTTCCAGAGGATGGAATCGAGAAAAAAAACGTGAATATAAAATACCTATCATCGGACCAGCTAACGCTTGATACGCGGACCGGCTTGAATTCCATTTATGTTGGTCACCCTAACGACATTGCCGTAACACCGCGCAAAAAATGCAACCGAAAACTGTCTTTATGTACATTTTTCGAATAGTTGAGTATATGGCGGCGGGGGTTGGGTGCGATTGGGTCGTTTTTTGCGCGGCGCGGCGCGCATGTATCGATTCGGTATTGATGTATTAATTTTTATCGGAATCGATTGGGCGTAAAATTAGGTATCGAGAAGTCTAGTGATTTCGTGGTCACGTTTGGAGTTGAAATATGAATGACAATTGTGTTGGGGCGGTTTCTTTGCCCGGTGAATGCGGGTTTATACTAATGAGCCTGCTTGTAAATTATGAGCGGTTTTGTTATTCGAATGTGCGGCGAGATGAAGGCGTCATCGTCGTGAATTTTTAATAGCAGCGTAGGTTTGGTCCTCATCCAATATGTAGTAGGTATACTTAAATTTTGCTTTGCAACTCACATTTTTAGTAGTGTTCTAGTTTTGAAAAAAAAATGGTACCTACTGATGATGGGTAGAATACTTGATTTTCGGCTATGTTCAAGGCTTTATTACACTCTGTATACGAAAACAGTTGCGAAGTTACACACTGCTGCGATAATAATGACTCAATAGAAGTATGAAGAAATACCGCAGTAACGCATCCGATATTATAGGCCGATAAAACGCGCCTATGAATTCAGGCCTAATGATGTAAAAGAGGAGCTCGATGGCGCAGTTGGTTACCGCGTTAGGCTGCGATCGTTGTAGTTAAGCAACTTTCGCAGTGGTCGGTCATTGGATGGGTGACCGAAAATTTCTATCTCGAGTTCCTCCGTGCTTCGGAAGGCACGTTAAGCCGTTGGTCCCGGTTGCATCTGCAGTCGTTAGCAACCGCCAATCCGCACTGGGCTCGCGTGGTGGGTCATGGCCCGATCTCCCTATTCCATCCATAGGGAAGGCCTGTGCCCCAGCAGTGGGGACATTAAGAGGCTGATGATGATGTAAAAGTTTCACCTGGAGAAATCAAATTTAAAGGCGTAGCCAAATCGCACTTTCATTGCCATCACGAACCAAGTACCGAATTAATATTATGATTAACGCATAGAATTAATGCTTCGCTAAACACCTGAAGTGATAAAAAAACCGCTAACCGTCAGTAGTCATAAAACGATGAGAAAAGACTTGAATTGGGATACTGCAAAAACCAGCTGCTTATGTCTAACAAGGTTTTTATATTTGTTTATTTAATTAATAATACCGAGCAGGTAGATTCTAGCATATTCAAATTATATTATTATATATCACTGGTGAGGATCCGCTACATTGTCTGCGTGGAATAATTAATTTCCCGTACAGAGAACCCTTCAACTATGATTTCTGGAATAAAAACTACCCTTTGTCCTTTCCTGGAACTGAAAATATATGCAAAAGAAATTTAAACAAATTCGGTTAAGCGGTTTAAGAGTGAAGAGGTAACAGACAGACAGACACATATACTTTCGCAATGATAATATACTAGTAGTAGCGGGCATCCAGTCCGCGACTTAGTCCACGTGTAATCATTGGTTTTTTAAACAAACTTCTCCTTTCCTGGGATAAAAACAATCCCATGTCCTTTCTCAGGACTTAAAGTGCAATATGTCTTTACCTTTCAAAATCAAAACCGGTTCAGCGGGTATAGCTTGAAGAGGTAACACACAGACAATCATACACAATTTATAATTTTAAAGTATGTATAATATTAGTATGGACTATTTTTATAGTTATTTAATACTTTTTTTTTAATAATTCATCTAATGTTCCCTTTCTAATTTGATCAATAAATTGTGTGTCTTAATCTCATTGAAGTAAAATGTTGTTAGTTAATTTTATGTTAATGCAATTATTAAAATTTTGTAATTTTATTATATGGTTACTGTGTTGTATATTTGTATAAACATGCTGTTTGCACATGCTAGTGGAGTTCAGTATATCTTTATCAATTGTTTTTCTTAGTGTCTTTAACCGTTTTGCTTGCTGTAACTCTGTTTTGTGCAATAAATAAATAAATAAAACAAAAAATAAATAAATATTTGTGTACTTAAAGGTCTGTGAATATAAAAAATGCAATAGTGGTCACGTTTTGATGTGAGAATGCGAAACTTAAGCAACTATAGTACAGGTATTAGTATAGTTGTACAACAGTTAGTATTCGGATGGGTGACCAAAAACATCATGGTACGTGCGGACATCCTGGGTTCTTGCCCAATTGTGAGTATCTGGTGTGGTCTCTGTTCAACTGAAGAGATGTTTTAATTTCTTGGGTTGGAAAGTTGAGGTCGTCAGAATACAATACTAAATAATATAGATATAGCTATATCGTTCTTTTATCAGTAGCTATAATAGCCAGATCTCAAGTAGAAAAAAACATCGATATTGTAGCCACCCAAAACGAAAAAAAACGCCGAATTCACTTTTCACCAATGAAACAAATTGGAAACGAACCTTATACTTATTTTT